TAATTGAGTATTTTTCTGTCGACCTGTTTCTTCTTTATTTCAATCACAGGCTATCGTTGAGCTCCGTCTCTCTGGAAACGATATTCGTGATCAAGGAGCGCAATGTATTGCTCATATGTTAGAAACGCATACAGTAAAAGAGCATGATTATTTTCGCTTGATGTCGATTTTGTTCATTACAGAAATTGCAACAATTAGGTTTGGAATCCAATAATATCGGAAATGAAGGAGCAAAGTATCTCGCTAACGCTTTGCATAAAGTTCAGGTAGACATATCTTACCTATCTCGATCAATGTCATTCTTTCACACCATTTAACACTAGGCATTAAATGAACTCTATCTTGGCCATAATAAAATCGGAAATGAAGGCGCACGATATCTAGCTGAAGCTATACGAGATCATCCGGTATCTATCAATAATTAACTTTTTACCATCATCTTCTTTTTCTGCTCACAGACTTTGACTAGTATCGATCTTCGACACAACAAAATCGAAGATCAAGGAGCTGAATATTTTGCTCGTGTTATAGAAACTAATCAAGTAACCATCAGTGATCCTATTCTGTTTGGCTTTGCTTTACTCTTTTATAGGTACTTACTAGCTTAGATCTTCAGAAGAATCAAATTGGTGACCAAGGAGCACAATACTTTATCAATGCACTGAAAAATAATACGGTAGGATCATTATTTGTCTCCCTAGATGAAGCAAGCTCGGTTGTAAACGGGCGTTTTTCATCATACTTGACTCGTTTGGTATGCGCCGTATTACGACCGTATGTCTTCGTGTCGTAAACGATCAAATACACGATTTTCAGACCGTTTTTCACCGTTTCTGATCGTATACGACACGGCGGTATACAGCCGTAATACGGGGTATATCAAACGGGTCAAATACGGGCAGTTTATGATCGTAGTCTTATGATTAACGGCCGTTTACTACCCGCTCACGACCATCGTAATGTTGGACCTGGGTCTTGTTTCATTTTATTATGACTCAAACCTTTATTTAGACGCTTCAAGATCTCCGACTGCAGGATAATAAGGGTTCAAAATGTTCAGCTGTTTCAGCTGTCATGAATATTCTTAATAAATATGTAATTCATGGATATTTCATGTCTTTTCTGCTTATTTTGAATTCTACTCTAGTGTTATACCACACTTAGGCTGGACTTCTATGGAATAGGAGATAATTTCATGGAGTGGATGTCATCTCTTTTGCAAAAATTTGACGTAATGTTTAACTGATCTTTTGTTCAAGAAGAATTTGTCTTCTATATTTCCAGAAATTTGAAACGATTAGTCTTATTACAAATAAGATAAGCGATAGGGATGCTCAATTGTTAGCTGCGTTCGTAAGAAAGTCAACGGTAATAATCATGATTACTTGAAATAAATCTTATTTGTATTTGAGTATGATAATAGAAAATCGTTAACTTGGATCTTCGAGCTAATCAAATTGGGGATGATGGAGCTTCTCACCTTGCTGACGCATTAAAATATAATCAGGTAAGATTGACGATACTGGAGTTTCGATTACATGTATTTTATAATTTCTTTTAGACACTTTCGACACTCAAACTTCGTGGAAATAATATTGGGCCAATAGGAATAAAATGTCTGACAGATGCTCAACAAAATAGAACGGTGTGTCATTTTTTTTCTATTGATTTGGTTCAAACATTTAACCAAGTTGTTTTTAGACACCAATCCAGTTCGATTTTACCGGTAAGAAGACTGACAGAATATTTCTCATTTTTTTTTAAATTATTTTTCATTAATAAGACTTCACACCTTATCGGACATTAAGGCCCCCCCCCCCCCACTCAAAAAAAGTCAATTTTCGTCAAAAATTTCGAAATTGAGATAAATGCATGGAAAGATAGCCCGTCATCTGCTCTTTCATAAACGATAATTTGTTTTTCTCGTTACTTCATTTTTCCCCAAAAATTTTCAAGATTTCCGTCAACCCCTATTCGAAAAACCAGCTGTTTTTTGAAAAACCAAAAAATGTTTTTCGTTTTTTCTCGATTTATGATTTTTTGATCTTCTGGCAAGGAATTCTCGGTCCAGGCTCTGTCAATATATTTAAATTTTTTTTTGTTTAAAAGAGCGCGTCGAGATGCAAGGCACTACAGAGTCCTTTTTTTAATTAAGCTTTGTTTTTTATTATATATACAGACACTTATGTGACTGGACACCCATTTTTGGCGCCTTTTTTGAGTCATTGAACTTGCGAGCCCCTTTCTCCGCGAAAAAAGTAAGACTTAAAAAAAAAGGACTCTGTGGTGCCCTGCATCCTGAGATGCTCTTTCAAACAAAAAAAATTTTAAATATGTTAATCGAGTCTGGACCGAGAAATCCTTGCCAGAAAATGAGCTATTTTTTACCCTTGTTTGGTTCATATCTCTGTCAAACATCAGGGTATCGAGCTGAAATTTTTACCACAGCCTTCCCGCTTCAGCCCCAACATATGCTCCAAATTTCAGCCCATTTGAACGTACCTGGGCTGAGATCGATTTTTGAGTGGGGGGGCCTTAAGAACAGTTCTGAGAAAAAACAGATACTGAAGAATAGCACAGTGTGCACCAATTGATTTTTCTCCTTTTATATTTTCGAACTTTTTTCTATTACCATGTCTTTCATTTATTAATCCACTTCCGTTACTCACATCGATTCTTTTAGTACTTGTTAATGAAATTGCTCATTTTCCTTCTCATTATTTTGTTCTTTATAGATGCTGTGAAACTAACATGTCGGGAAGGACATCCTCTCAAGTTGTCCGATCGTACACAATATGATATAATTTATAAAAATACATTTCCAATAAAATGGTTTCAATGCAATACATGCTCGAAATATAGCCCGGAATTATTATGGCATTGTGATCAGAGTCATGGAAATGAGACATTTAACATTTGCGAAGCATGTGCAGATCAACAAACCTAAACATCTTCGTCATATAATCATTTCAAAACAAAACTAGCAAATATGCAACAGAAAGACTTTATCACAATATGTACGCTCGAAAAGTATCTATTCTTTGTCTATCATTTATAAAGGTTAATCAAGATATAATAAAATAAAACAATAGTTAAAGTATACGCTAATATTGATAACTAAAAGGAAAGGTGAGTAGTGAATATAACAAATAAGATCTAAATAGATAGAATAGTTTCATTATTGTTAAAATATTTTCTTTTTGTTATCATCATATAGATGAACAGCAGATATTCTGTTGTCCACGTATGCTTATATCACTTAACACAATGTTTCACATAAAGAAATGTTTATATACAATGAGGATAGGAGGGATATTTGTGTAAAAAAGACATTGCACACACTAATATCACAGATGAATGACCATAATAGAATGTATGAACGGTATTTCAACTGAATTTGTAGATCCGAAGGAAAAGTATCGGATCATATATCGAATTTCTAACCAACAGATTTCAGACAGAGTTACATCGGATAAGAACCAATTCCATTCTGTCGTATCTTCTCGTCAGATATTACCGCAATTCCCAGGATCTATAAACAAACATATCTAATAAGTTAATTTTATAAACATTTTATCAAGATTTTATAAATTATTTATCACAAATGTATTTTGATAAATTTGTCGATACATTATCATATGTTCTGCCAGCTGTAAAATATTTATTGAACGAAAGTCGCGCCAAACTTTTCTTCTTAACAACTTAATTTTAATTCTCTCAGAACACTTCAAAGTCATAATCGTCATTTCATCAAGATATTCTTTATACAAACGAATATTATTTGTTCAGTCTCGATATTTTCGTCTCGCGTTTAAATGAATTTTTCGGACCTACAGTTCGTGAAATCATTGCGTCACAAAATGTTATAAGATATGCGTGCGCGAAAGATTACAGAAATACTTATGCTTATCACATCGCATTAATAAATAGAAAGAAAAGCGTAGTTAATGCGATGCGAAGCATAGGATTCATGTAGTACTGCGTGATTTTTCTTTTTAATGCGATGCGAAACATTGTAGCATTTCTGTGGTCCACCATGAGTTTTCTTTTTTAATGCGAGGCGATAAGCACCAAACATTTATGTATTCCTTTGCGATTTTTAATGCGGTGCGAAGCACAGCATTTATCAAGTCCAACGCGAGTTTCTTTTTATTTATTTTTTTACTATCTTCACGTACGCACACGCCGATGTGATTTCTAGCCAGCGAAAAGCCTGGCAAACATTTTTTCTCAAGCAAATAGTAGTTAAAACACTGAAAAAGCATTATTTCGGTACTCATGATGACTACAAAAGTCAACAAAAAATATTTGTTAATCGGGTTTTCTATATAAGGATTGGTAGAACTTTTCACGAGCGACAAGATGGTATAGTTTTCATCTCTTGAAAATTCTGCCCGTTTTGGGGGTGGTGGGTGTGGGGTTGGGTGTGGGTGTGGGTGAGTGGGTGTAGGTGGGTGTGGGGTTGGGTGAGTGGGTGTAGGTGGGTGTGGGTGGATGAGTGGGTGTGGGGGTGTGGTTGTGGGTGTGGGTATGAGTATGGTTAAGAGAATATCCACACGCACACCCACCCTTTTATTCACTATTTGGAATGAATAAGTTTTGCTCTGCTTGTCAAAATTTAGTTGCCCTGAAAATTTCCAAATTTCTGATGAACAGTTCTCTTGAAATTCGAGAGAGGAAACAAACCCTTAAAAGCAAGCATGACACTTTGACGTATTCTTCATTTCAATTTAAAACTACTGGAGAAAAGGAAAATTTTTGCATTGATTATGCTTTCTCTTTTCTATTATATGACTCATGTTATTACATCAACATTTTTGTTTTGTGGTTTCTTTCCTACGAGAAAGCAAGCTGAGGACATTTGACTCATTATATACAATAGCTATATATATAATGCCCAAGCTAAGGAAATATTAGGAAATAGTTTGGTTTGCTGTTCAATCATCAATAATAACAGTCGGTTAGAAAGAATATTTCTAGAAGTGCTTATATCCATTTCAATGACTAATACGAATAAACTAAATAAAGTTCTTTGGACAAATATTACTCACCTTAAATTATCGAATAAAGAAGGTTCATCAGTAAGATTTTTACTTGATAAATCACCATTTGATGAAAATGATGATGATGATAGTGATAATAAAAATTTGATGAAAAATACTGAATATGTTATCATTGGACGGATATTACCAAACTCAAATATATTTAAAGAAAGTTCATTTCAAATAGAAATGAAATTAACATCAAATTATCCATTTGAACCTCCTGAGGTTAGATTTTTAACTCCAATTTATCATCCAAATGTTGATAAAAATGGTAAGTAAATGCATATTATTTACTCAATCTAATTATATTTATATATTAACAACAAATTAAGGTAAATTTTGTCATCCACTATTGACAAAAACTACAAGATGGAAACATGGAACAACTTTAATCGATGTTGTTAAAGCTGTTGTTGAACATATTGACAATCCAGATATTGATTATGCGGTCAATATCAGTTAGTTTTGTTTCTATTGTGAAACATAAAAAAAAGAAAACTTTTCAATATATTTTGTTTTCTTAAATTTTTATATAGATATCGGTCGAGAATACATGGAAAACCGAGCGGAATTCAATCGAAAGTGTTTGGAAATGGTTCAACGATATAAATTACCACCGAATTAAATAATTTTTATTTTAATTATGCATATATTTTTATTCATGTATCTAGGAAACATGATTTATTTTTTTCTTATAAATAAAAATATACTGATATCTTTTTAAAAAAAAGGCTTATCGTACAAATTATATACAATTAAAATGTGAAGTATTGTGTAACAGCTGTTGGTAGTCATACGAAGATTGTTTGATTCGAACATATTTCTTTATTCTCCAGAAATACAAGAAGACAGATATTACTAAATTTCTTTTAGATAATGTTTCAGAATATAATAAATGATAAAATGTCTTCAACCTAGAGAACCTCAGCGATCATAAACTATAGAAAAGAGAATTCTGCTAGATGAAAATAGATAACACCAATATCACTATTGAACTTCATAACTCTGGAAAAGATTCTGTAAGAATCATATATGTTTTCCCTTGTACTCTCTAGTATGTTTTTGACTCTTTATTATCTTCTAGTTACGTAATGCGATAAAACTTCTTTCTGACTAACTATTAGTTAGTCGTCGACAACCTTTACAATCTTATAGTATAGTATGGGAATCCAGCTATTCATGTAACTGGTTTCTTTGAAATTCATCAACCTTCTCTAGCACTTTCCTCATTTCCACTGTGACTGTTGGTATAAAAAAAATCATCTGATATTCTTTTGAGACGAGTCCATAGTTGTCATTCAGTGAACAAAGCTGAAATTCTTAGCGAAAGTGCGTCCTTAGTTGGATATTTGTGAAATGTAGGTGTACTATAGTGTTTGGACAAAAAATATATGCCCACACCAATGAAAACATTGGGTTAAAATTAGAACTTCGAGTTTTTTCTGAATATGAATTTAAAGTTTTTGAAGAACTTTTCCTTAAGAAGTTATCGGCTGATCTTGTTAAAGCGCATAAAGTAAGTTTGGATAAACTTTAGTATGCCAAAATTTAAGCAGAGCGAAAATAAACATTATTTAAAATACAGAAAATCATAGAAAAAAACATTCCTTTATAAAAAGAGATATGTGCCGATTTTCAAAACATTAAATATTCGATACAGTGAAAGAGTCCATCAAAAGAAGAGGCACAGAAATTTCACAGCATCTATCGAAATCAATCATAAAGCAAAAATAAATTAGTAAGAAATTAGAAAACTTCGTCAAATACAAATTAAATACTTCTGAATGAATCATAAAATTATTCAGCTATTATGACGCTAATTCAATCTCAGGTCATGTGGCAGGGAAGGCCCGATCCTCCAAAATATTACTAATGACTCAGAAGTTTTGGAAATTACTAGGAAACTTAAATAAACAGAAGAATTACAAAATATTTTCTTTTTGTGCACATATCAATATATTTTATTTTGGAGAAAAAAGTGCTACCTTGTCAAGCGTAGTTAATTTCCAAAGGACACCGCGGGATTTCATCGTAAATCTGCCACCTCTCAGTTTTCATTGTCAATATTATAGAAAGATAGACCTTGAAATTCTACACCTTTCTGTATATTTAGTTTTATTTTTTTCTTGATCAGAGAAAAATTTTTCGAAGACCACTTTGTCAGGGGGGGGTCTATGAGTCTTTCATAAGTTTTCAGTGTTTCGGATGATAACGGTAATGTTCATAATTTGTTTTCTATTTTAATCTCAATGCCAAAACTAAGGGTGTGAGTGTGGGTGTGTGGGTATGGGTGTGAGTGTGGATGGGTGTGGGATATGGGTGTGGCTGTGGCTGTGGCTGTCGCTGTGACTATGGGTTGTTGTTAGATCATGCACATAGAATGATGATCTAAGACGAAAAAGAAAATAACATCGTCTCTTCTAGTCTAACTGGATTAGGACATCTGCCCGGATAGCAGAAGGTGTGGGTTCGAGTCCCATGAGGAGCACATCTTTTTCGTTCTGTCATTGTATCATCTCCTCCTTTCGACAGTATATGTAACTGTTGTGGGTGTGGGTGTTAAAGAATTACTTTCATTCATACCCACACCCACATCAATGTGAATGTGGGACCTAACAAGCATGTTTTCAATTATGGTCAAAAAACATTCTTACATACTTATTGATAATGTTTCTTTTTTTTTTCGTTGTGTCAATCGAAAAAAATTGTGAGTCTCTGCCTTGAGGAGTGTGGATGATGTCGATGATTGTTAATAGAATACTTACATCTATACCTTCATGACAACATTCGGACTGATAGGAATTACATTTTAGCGATAAAAATTATAAGAGTGTGCACACGATGTTAGACGGAAGTAGCTATTTCAGTTTGGCAGTGACTGTGATTGTAGTTCTTCTCCCTAATCTGACTTCATATTTAGACTTCAAATTTTGCGAATAATTCTGGTTTTCTGAGTGTCGTGTATGCTAGTGTGGTGTCGTGGGTGTGAGTAGGGAAAAAATTCCAC